CCGGCACTTCAGGCAGTGGCTTCATGTGCTATGCCATGGTGCTGGCCCCAAGTTTTCACCTTTAATGCCCAGCTCAAAAGCTGCCTCTTGTGAGAAGGCTCCAAGTTCAAAGTAATTACACTTTCTGCTCACTGCGCATGTGAGAATGCCTTTTTTTTAAAAAAAAAAAAAAAAAGATTTATTTTATTAATCTGAATAAATAAAATGGGGGAGAGGGGGTCTTCCATCCACTGGTTCACTCACCAAATGGCCGCAATAACCAGGGCTAGGCCAGGCCAAAGTCAGGAGCCAGGAGCTTCATCTGGATCTCCCACATTAGTGAACAGGTCCAAGGACTTGAGCCATCCTCCACTGTTCTCCCAGGCAGATTAGCAGGGAGCTAGATCAGGAGTAGAGCATCCAGGACTAGAACTGGTGCCCATATGGTGTGCCAGAGTTGCAGGTGGTGGCTCAACCCATTATGCCACAACTCTGGCCCCTATACCTTTCTTAAAGCATTCTGTTAATTTTGTTTCCTAATTATTTCCACATATATCAGTCTCTGTTCCAACAACTGTGAGCCCATTAAGTCGGATTAGTTGTCTTCATCTTTATGTCACTGGGTGTCTGAAGGCAGATGTCTTGCACACTCTCCATTGGTGGATTGAGTAGTTTCAGTGGCAGCTCTGAGGCAGCTGGTTTCAGAGTTTCTGACTTCAGCGCTGTCACCATATTAGAGTTGTAATGGATATTGATAAAGTGCTTTGTAGCTTCAAATACATTCATATCCATTGTCTTTGATGACCCTGTGGTAGACCTTTGAGGAGCGGGGAAGTACGTGATCTCGTCTACAAGCAAAGTATGTTGTGATGGCTCCTGTATGGAGGACAGCAACAGTTGCTGGCATCTGTGGAGGCCTTGCCATGTGCCATGCATGGTTCTAAATGCTTTACATGTATAATTCTTACAGCAGTCCTATAAAATAAGTGCTAGTAAGATCCCAAAATTGCAGAGGAAAATAATAAGGCACAAAGAAGTTAAGTCATTCGCTCTATATCTGTCTTTTGATCAATATGTTATATTGTTAATACCTTGTCTCGGCCGGTGCCATGGCTCAGTAGGCTAATCCTCCACCTGCGGCGCCGGCACCCCAGGTTCTAGTCCCGGTTGGGGTGCCAGATTCTGTCCTGGTTGCTCCTCTTCCAGTTCAGCTCTCTGTTGTGGCCCGGGAAGGCAGTGGAGGATGGCCCAGGTGCTTGGGTCTCTGCACTCGCATGGGAGACTGGGAGGAAGCACCCGCTCCTGGCTTTGGGTCAGCACAGTGCCGGCCATAGTGGCCATTAGGGGAGTGAACCAACGGAAGGAAGACCTTTCTCTCTCTCTCACACTGTCTATAACTCTGTCTCTGTCTCTCTTTCTCACTAACTCTGCCTGTCAAAAAAAAAAAAAAAAACAAAAAAAAAAACACCTTGTCTCTAAGATACCTTCTATTACCTGACTTGGCAGAAGGAAGAAACCATTAGGAGTTTTCTCCCACCCATTGATTTGGCAAAAAACCTAGCTTAGCCTTATATATAGTTTTAATGGGAAAATGAATACCAGCGTTAGGGCCAGCATAGTGTCCCAGCAGGTTAAGCCACCACTTGTGATGCCAGATCCTGTATCAGAATGTCAGTTCCAGTCCCTGCAGCTCTGCTTCCAGTCCAGCTTTCTGCTAATGAGACTGGGAAGGAAGCAGAAAATGGCCCCAAATAATATGGCCCCTACCACCCATGTGGGACCCCAGAAAATGGAGTGCCTGGCTCCTGGCTTCAGACTTGGCCCAGACCCAGCTGTTGAGCCATTTGGGAAGTTGAGCCAGCAGATGGAAGATGTCTCCTTTTCCCCCCTCTTTCCCTCTCTCCCTTCCCCTCTCCCCCCTCCTCTCTCTTTCCCTCCCTCCCTCCTTTTCTCCCTTCCCTCCCTCTGTTCCCTCTGTCTCAGTCTCTGTATGTCTCTTCCTGTCTCTGCTGCTGGTCTGCCTTTCAGATAAATAAATAAATAAATCTTTTTTTTTTTTTTTTAAAGAATTCCAGCTGATTAAGATCCAAAGTTTCTTAGATCTTGGCAAGCTCTCAGATAGATACCAAGGTGTCATCTCTAGGAATTGTATAAGTCCTGTTTAAGTCAGGTAATAAGAAGCTCTTTCTGTGTTTCTTATACTTCACAAACTATTGGTGAATTTTGGTTTCTGTAATGGAAGTATGACTCTCAAAAACTGTTCCTTTCCATATATTTCCTCCACTATAAGCTTCCATTCCTTTTTCTGCCTACTTCCTTCTCCATGGCATCTGTCTGGTGTTGGAGCTCTTGGCGTCTGCCTTTCTTTCTTCATTGATAGCTAGCGTGAATGGGTGGTTGTGTGACAAGGACTTCACTGTTGGCTCCCACAGCACAGTCGGCATTTTCTGTGGTCTGTGTTCTAAGTCTACCAGACAGCATGAGCCAGGCTGGCTCACAGTCCTGGGCAGTGGTGCTTTTCGTTTGTCTCCCCATCCCCCACGTTGATAAAGAACAAGCTAAAAGCAGATGAGAAGAGGAGACCCCTGTACTCCTGTAATCAAAGTCCTCTTCCACTCAAATGCAGTCAGGGACATTGCACCTTGGGCCCGATCTATAGGAAGTTGGCTATCAGAATATAGTCCTAGAGGCGGCAGATTTTGCAGCCTGGTTGACTCTCCTTGTCGGCCTCTCCTAAAAAGTATTGTGCTGAAGCTCCATCTGATGGTCATATGTCCTTTCTGTGGCCCCACCATGCAGTACCACAGGACAGCTTTGTCCTGGCTTCTTGTATGTGATATTGTGTTATATTATGCTGCCACTTGTTTTATATTAACACCCATAGCTGTGTAGTAACAGCTTCCTGGAGCCTCAGTTGTGCTGTGTGGAACTCTATGTACTCAGCATTTTTTCTTCCCAGGAGAAATGATTTCAGTTGTTCAGTGCATTATCATTGTTCAGGTCCTGACCTTGGGGTGTTGGGTTTGTGAGCTGGGGTGTGAAAAGAGCTGAAGCTGTCAAATGAAGAGAAGGAAGACGCCAGTTTCTGCTTCTGGGCTGTGGCTTAGTAACCAGAGCCATAAAGTAGAACTAATTGACTGTCCCCACTGCGGCGTCTGCAGAGTTGCCAGAAGCTGAACAGACTGTGGGGACTGGGCCACTCTGCTGGAAGGGTGGGTGGTTAGAACTGCACCTCTGCTCAGGAGAGCTAGTTTTTGCATTCCTTCTTTAAAGGCTGCCTTGGAAGAACCAGCATTGTGGGACGCTAGTGTCAACTGTAGGCAGTAGAGACTGTTTTTAATACATCATGAATTTTATAAAATTCTTATTTTGCACCCACCTCCTGACTTTTCATTTCAGTGTGGAACTGAGCTTTCATGGGGACTTGGGACTGTGGGCGTGTTGATAAGGGAATGTGCGTGGTGAGCAGGTGGCAACAGCAGAGCAGTCCAGGGAGGGCTCTGTATATCCCCAGGGGAGAAGTTTGTCATTGCAGCCTAGTGGAGACTTGCATTCTCAGCGCTACCATAACATTGAAGGGGATCATAAGGTTCACCCAGGCTGTTCCACTTGTTGTAGACACTGAAACCCATGAAACCACTGCCAAGGCCTCACAGCCAGAGAGCAGCCAGGGCCAGGACCAGATCCTCAGACTCCTGAGTTAAAGTCTTCTCTCTGATCACCTTGGACAAACTTATATAGACCCATGGACCTTAGATTTCTCCTTTGTCAAAATAGATGAACTGTGTCCATTTGCCTCTAATCTCATGGATAGTTTCTGATCTCATGGATAGTTCTCGGGAGCTTTGGGTTGACGAGGGAATTGTTTGTTGTATGGACCATGGATATTTACAGAAGAAATAAAGAGATGAGTGTTAGCTTTTCTGGACATAGGGCTGTTATCTACCCTGACAGTGTGGGTTAGAATCTTAAATGGGTTTGAGTTTAGGCAGGGAAAGGCCCTGGGTGCCCCAGTGCAGTGCTGGTGTTAGACTGTGATTTGGTCAATTATTTATGCTACTTCAGGGCAGAGATATTGGAGCGTACAGTAGTAATTGGCCTCATGAGCAAGTAGTGTCAGATTTCTAGGATGTTAGGGAGGTTTCGAGAGAATTACAAACGTCTCCTGGCATTGACAAATTGGACCGCTTTTTCAGCAGATCAACTAAGGTTAAACTTAAACAAATAGGAGCAGCTGGGAGACTTTGGAAGGTGCAAGATGTGCACATTCTCCATGGAAAAAAAAAAAAGAAAAAGAAGAAGAAAAGCCTGTGCTCCCTGAGGAAGGAAGGATGAGGCGTGGAACTCTGAATGGGCTCCCTGAGGAAGGAAGCGGTTATTTCTCTGCTGTTTTGTTTTGCACTTTCAGTTAAGAAATTCCAGAAGTGGCAGGTTGTGGATCATGACCTCCCCCCCACCCCCGCTCTGTTGCTGCTTGCCAGAGGAAGGGAGGGCGGGCAGCTGTAAATAACACTTTGGCCTTTATGGAAATGTGTCAGATGTTCCAGCAGTGAGTCTCCCTCGCTCACTCTCGCTCACCAGCTCGCGCGTGCTCTCCCTTGCTCGCTCGCTCGCTCGCTCGCGCTTTCACTCACCTCATGCTCACTCGCCCTGTCCTCACTTGTGTCCTTTCTGTAGGATGCTGTTAGCACTTCTCCTCGCCTTATATAGCAAGGCCTGGTCGTTAATGTTAACAGAAATCTAACAGCGGGGAAGGCAGCCAGATAGCATTAATCAGGCCAGTATTTGGAATTTCATAAATGCTCTGACTTTGAGTACAAATTGGACATTAAGAACAATATGAAACTGTTTTCCTTCCTCTCTCTCCTTCTCTCCCTCTCTCCCCTCCCCTGCCAACCCCTCTTCTCTCTCATTCCCTGCTTTTGAATTCCTCTGCTTTGCCGGGTGCTCACTACATTGGAACTTTGTTGACTTTTACCACATTTAATTTTTTATTTCTCTGTCTCTCCGTCCACCCCAAGACCACAGGCAAAGCAGCAGCAGCCGGAGCCAGGACTCTGCAGAGGAGCAAGACGGACAGGTCCCTGAGCAGTTCTCAGGTCTCCTCCACGGCTCCTCCCCGGTGTGTGAGGTGGGACAAGACCCTTTCCAGCTGCTCTCTGCCACCGGCCAGAGCCATCCAGAAGGGTCCCCCCAGCCAGGCGCCTGCCGCGAGGCCAGCATGCAGCTGGAGGAGACGGGTGCGCATACCCCTGGAGCCTCTCAGCCCAGCGCCCTAGACCAGAGCAGGAGAGTGGGCTGCCCATCAGGCTTGCCTACCACCACCAACAGCCGATTGCACCCCGGAACTTTGACTCGCTCAGCACCTCTGCACCCTGGTGGTGCTGAGGAAGAAGGAGAGCGGCCCGGGGCCAGAAGCCGAGCCCCTCCCACCAGCAAACCCAAAGCCGAACTCAAACTCAGCCGCAGCTTGTCCAAGTCTGACTCTGATCTCCTGACCTGCTCACCCACAGAGGACTCCACAATGGGGAGCCGGAGCGAGTCCTTGTCCAACTGCAGCATCGGGAAGAAGAGGCTGGAAAAGTCTCCCTCCTTTGCCTCGGAGTGGGATGAGGTAAGGCCGACATGACATCACAGAGAGCGAGGCTGGTTGGCTTCCCCTGCATGCTGACTCCTTGGACTAGGATCTGGGCCAACATCACCCTTATTCCTTCAGACTGTGACCAGGGTGTTCCTGATAGCTGGGGGCCGGGGGGGGGGGGGAGGGGGGCAAACCCCAGCATAGCCAGGGGCACAGAGCACAGGTCCACTGATGGTTAAACTTAAGGGTGGAGGCCCGAGTAGAGCAGGGCCAAGGGAGGGGCAGTCCTTAGGAATGACATGCTGTTTGGAAATATTTGGATCCCATCAGCAGCCCCACTGAAGGAATCCTGCTCAACCTGAAGATGCTTAGAACTAGAGGACTTCCTGTCAGTGCCTCAGCAGAGAGAGAGGAGTCCAAGATCAGCTGGGAAGCGGGGGAGAAGGGCAGCGAGGGGTAGCGCTTGGGAGACGCTGATGAAAAGGGATCCGAGGGGGCTTTTCTATTCCCCACACCTTCGTGAGTGTTCCTACAGCCTTCCTGTGGAAGACCGGCTTTCTTCTCCCAGCAGTGTCTCGCCCACCCATTCTCAGGCTGCACACACAGGAGGCCAGGTGATTTCAGGAAACAGAAAGCAAACACTTTCTCCTGAGGCCCAGGTTCCTTTCATAACTGCTGTTAGTGAATAGTTGGAAATAAATACCCAAATATTTTTCAGTGACCTCTGGCCTTACTGGGCAGGAGAATATGTTTCTCAAAGACTGGTAAACACCCCAGGAATGTTCAAGTGCCACCCTTGCAAGCTTCTTGCTAAGAGGAAGCTGTCTTTGAAGTGAACTGAGTCGGTCTCCCAGGAACGTTTTTAACAGATGCATTTAGCTCTCCGAGAAGAGGGGAACAGTACAGCTGACACGTCCATTCGAACAATCTGTAGACTTAATGCCCTGCCCAACTCTATTTGGGTTGCAGCTGCAAAGTTATGTAAACCAAAACCATTCCCATTCCCAGTATGGGAACAGGGCGGGACAATTTCTCCAACACTGTTATCTCCAAATAAAATGAGGCTTGGGACTCTGTTTAGTCAGACAGGAATCCTGTGCAAAAAAAAAAGATTTTTATTCCTTAGTAAACAAAGATTTGGTGAGCCTGTACTGCATGCTGCAGTAATGGAGAATCACTATATAGGTGAGCTAGCTCCTGGAGTGGCCCCTAAGAAGCTACACAAAAGAGTACGTGTATTGGTAGGAATGTTTTTCAAAATAGAGCTTTACTAATGTAAGTTAGCTATACAATAGGGCAATTAAAGGGTAGGGTGGAGACAAGTGCAGTCTCTGAAATGGCAGAGAGGTCAAGAGAGGAAAATATTGGGAGAGGAAGACAGGAGGTGTAAGAGGGTGGGAAGGGACTTCAGGAAAGATCACTGAGATATGGAATTTGACATGGCATTAGAGACCAAGTGTTGTGGTTAAAAAAGGTGAAAACTTAGGGGTTGAATAGGGGGCTGGTAGGTGGAGAGAACATAAGCAAAGGCCTGGAGCTGGGAAAGTTAGATCACCTGCTTTCTGTGGAGTGTTGAATGTATACAGGGGAGAATAAGAAGTGGGGTTAGGAAATAAGCTTTGGAACAGAGTGAGAAGGCCTTGAACATGAGTCAGATGTAAGTACTTGATTGGATATCAAGGTAGTATCTCATGATCTTCAAACGGGCTGAAAGCTTAACCAGTCTAATTAATTACTGTCTTCATGGCTCCTTCTCCCAAGCACACTCCCGTCCAGGGAGGTCTCTCGTGCTGAGAGACCTTAGCATGCAGTACTGCCAGGCAATCTTTCTGGCTCCACCATTTCTTCTTGGAGAACACAGAATCACCAAGCCAAAGTCTGGCTTAATTGAAGTTGGCCATTTGGGTTAATAAGGCAGTTAGTTGTGTGTTTATGTCTTAACGAGAGAAGGTGCGTGGTACTTTTGCAGATAGAGATTGCACGTGGGTGCAGTGAGCTCAGGAACTATTGGAGAGCTGGGTGCCATGGGCTAGTTCTGTCTTGTGGCTGACGCACCAGCAGCACTGCCACATTTGAAATTTGCAAAACTTTAAAGGCAGTTGAAGACTTACTGGAAAGAATTCAGAGGATCAGGCTTTGCTTGCATAGTAAACATAACCCTTCCACATTGTTTTTGAGTCATATTAAACTTGGTTTTTGTGGATAGCTCTATTCAAAGAGAAACTTCAGAAGTATTTCCCTCAGAGATGGGCCCTAAATCCAGGGCTTTGGCAGCCTTTCCCAGAATAGGGTGTTAGTTAATGACTATTCCCGACGCTACCCCCGACCACTGCTTGAAGCCTGCTTTGCTTATTATTTTTTTCTTTGTGAACATTAGATCCCCAGGAGGTGAATAAAACTGCTCCGGAGGAGCTTGAGACCAGCTGAGTTCCTCACTGTGAGATCAGGGGAGGAGAGAGGGGTTGGGGTCCTGGACAACTGTCATCCAGGCACAGGCCAAGCTGCAAGTGAGTGTGCACAGCCATGCCTAGAAGGCAGTGCAGGGCTGACACTGTCTCAGCTTGAGTCCCAGCTCAGCCACTGTGTCACTTTGGTGTGTTGATGGCCTCACTAATCCTCAGTGTTACTATCCTTATTTGTGAAACAGAGACAGATGAATCTGTGTTTCAGAGGTTTTTTTTTATATACTAATTAGAGATATATTTAAGTGCCTCACACAGTTGCTGGATAAAATTCCTAGATGCATACGGTGTTATCTAAGTGACAGGTCTTACTGTTATTGCAAGGACAAGTGTTTGGCTCAGGGGTCAAGCCATTAAGCCATTGCCCAGGTTCAGGTGCCCACTTCACTCTCGATTCCAACTTCTTGCTAATGTACACCCTGGGGGGCAGCAGGTGATGGCTCAAATACTTGGGTCCCTGCTGCCCACATGGGAGACTTGGATTGAGTTCTGGACTCCTGGCTTCAGCCTGCCCCTGCCCGAGATGGTACGGGCATTTGGGGAATGAACCAGTAGTTGAAGACCTTTCTTTGTCTCTGTCTCTCTGTCTTTCAAATGTGTGTGTCTGTGTATGTGTATGTATGTGTGTGTATTAGTATTCCCGAAACCTGTGCAGTATGGAAACTGAAGCCTGGGGTGTGTTCAGACCTTAAGGAAAGCAGAGCTCTATAAAAATGATCCCAGGGTTTGGTCTGCTGGAGTGATTGGGAAGCAGTGGAGTTCAAGCCCTTCTCCTGGTCATCTCTCTATATGGCTTTTTCCCACCCTAGAGACAGAAGAGCCTATCCAGCCTGGAAAAGGCACGCAAGTCCCAAGCATATACTGTTGCTTCTGGAGAAATTAGTGGGCCTTCCTGCTTAACTCTCTTGAGGGGAGAAGAGGAATCAGAAGTCTGTGGTTCCCTCTACTATATTTTTCCCAAATATGTTCACCTACATAATGGCCAGCAGTGGCTATTTGGATGGTTGTGTTAAACCAGAACTCTTGAGCCTGAGGGAACTCTGAAATAAAAGGGTTTATTGAGCCTTTATGGATGCAGTCTGGAGCAAGGACCAGGTCCCGGGACAGGTTTCCACGACTACCAGTAGCAGGACTAAGGAACAGTTAAAAAAAAAAGTCTGTTGGACCTAGAGCCGAGAGTATTTTTATAACAAAAATTTGGAAAAGGGACCGGCGCCGCGGCTCACTAGGCTAATCCTCCGCCTTGCGGCGCCGGCACACCGGGTTCTAGTCCCCGTCAGGGCGCCAGATTCTGTCCCAGTTGCCCCTCTTCCAGGCCAGCTCTATGCTGTGGCCAGGGAGTGCAGTGGAGGATGGCCCAAGTGCTTGGGCCCTGCACCCCATGGGAGACCAGGATAAGTACCTGGCTCCTGGCTTCGGATCAGCGCGGTGCGCCGGCCGCAGCGGCCATTGGAGGGTGAACCAATGGCAAAGGAAGACCTTTTTCCCTGTCTCTCTCTCTCACTGTCCACTCTGCCTGTCAAAAAAAAAAAAAAAAAAAAAATTTGGAAAAGGAAAGCATAAGTTGTTGACCTTGGGCCTATATTGGCTATAGATAAGAGAGGCAGGATAACGCAAAGCAGAGAAAGCTTTGGTATAGGAGAGTCCTTCGTAGGAAGAAGTAACAGGCCACTGGCTACCATGGCCCCAGTGACTGACATGTATTCAGGGATGTGAAACAGTCTTTTTTGGTTTCACCGTAGCTATTAACTGGTTAACTTACCTCTCCCCTACCCCACCCCACCCCACCCCATTTTCTATGCCTTTGTGATTAAATTTGGGATGTCTTAGAATTTTCTTTTATCAGTTGCCTAGGATGACCTTCTGGTTGGGGAACATGCAAAGCTAATAGTTTTAGGTGTCATTTTCTCTAGACTGTTTCTTAAAGCTAGTTAAAGAAGCTCTTATTGAATTGCTCTGGATGAGACAACTTCTGAAAGTCAGCCTGGCTAAGGTAAACTTCTGAGACAATATCCATTATTGACACTAGCATTCTCCCTACTTTCTATATTTTTGACAACAAAGAAATAAGAGTCTGCCCTTAAAAGAGGTTAGCCAAGTGAAGTCAAAGCTCATTTTGTTGTCTTAATGATCCCTGGGGCACAATAGAAGTGAAACCAAGAAGCTGTACATAAATAAAACTTTAAATATAGATAAGGAGTGGGGATCCCTTCTCCACCTTTTGGCTAAGATCAAGTGCAGATAAGGAATGGGAAAAATCTGCATCCCTTTATACACAGTTAACCGTTGTTAACCTTTGATGTACATCCTCATGTAGAATCTGCTTTTTTTTTTTTAAACTAATGACTGCATGTGGCTGTCTCACTACAGCAGTGTGGGTCTTATCTGGATTTGGATCTTCATTCTCAAAGGCTTACTGTTCTGTTGTATGGCTGTTTTATGTGAGTTTGTTTGATGTGAGCTGCTGGGCAGGACATTTTCTACCTGCCCAATCCTTTCTTTTCCCTTTTTAACCTGCTTGGAGTCCTGCATTGATAGGCTAAGGAAATGCTAGAGTTACTTGTGTCCCTC